TCCCATATTCAATTCCAGTCAAGATCACATACTTGGGTTGCGGGCTTGATCTCCAGTGTGGGGCGTGCAGGAAGCAGCCGATCAATGATTCTCTCTCATCATTGCTGTTTCTATATCTCTCTCCCTTCCTCTCTGAAATCAGTAAAAATATATATTTTTTAAAAAGGATACTGAAGGTTAATTCCTCCCGTGGTATTCTGTGAGAGCAGCAGCACCAGGGTCCCCTCAGTTAGGCTCACCAACCCTGTCCTCACCTGGGTAGATACCCTCGAGCCAGTGCCCCATGCATTCCCAACGCGCCATGCTTCTTGCTTCTATCCCTGCTGCGTTTATCATCTCTAAATGTCATACCATCGGTCTACAATTCTGACACCGCTTTTCCTGCAGCCAAGACACAACTAATTAATTACACAACAGGCTCTCTGAGAAAGGCAACCTTCCTTTTAAAAAATGTGTTCAGTAAACAGCCCGATCATTTCTCTACTTCGCCTTTTCTTTTCCCTTCCCCGCTGCCCTCCTCTCCTTCCAGCCAGGGTGACAGCTCTCAGACGGATGGCTACCGTGCAGGTAACAGACAGGGGGTGGGGGTTTATTTCAAACACTAGGGCACTACGCCCTGGTACAGCTGGCTGGAAGAGAAGGGTAATTATATTGCATCTCGGAGCCACCGGCAATGAATTTCTGCATGAAGACTAGATTTGCCATGTATTATTTATGCCAGCATCAATTTTCCCAGCTGGCTCTATTGACTGAGCAAATTCTCCTCTGTCTGTTTATGGGCAAGGCCATGCATATGGTTCGGCACCTCCGGGTACTTTGTACTGTTGAGGGGTCCCACAGGGCATCATGCATATTATACAAGTGTCTGGATTCACTAGTAGGTCACATCTTCCCTTCATTAGATAATATCCCTGGGACTGCAGCGAGCTCCCTGTCTCACCTGGCTCTGGTGATGCACGCAGGCGTATGAAACCAAATCAGCAAGAGCCAAAGAGGACTAATCGGGTCCTCCTCACTGGTGGAAACTGAGGGGCTTGGGGGGAAAGCAACATTCTGGGGGGAAATGAGGTGGATCTGGGGCTCAGGAAATTTCCTTTTTATATTTTTAAGAGCAGGACATAGATGAAGAAGAGTTTTTGCATTTATTTCAACTTAGTAACTTAAAAACAGAGCTAAGGGGAAGAGAGCCCCATTTTACAGATGGAAAAACAGAGGCAAAACAAACAAACCAAAGAAGCAAAGGCAAGCTTCATGGTTCAGTCACTGTATTGGATGGAGCGCAGGCACGATGGTGATGCGTGGGGTTACCATCGGTCACTAGCGTGCCTCTTCAGAGATGCCCCACGCCAGGGTGAATGAACTTGGCTCTGGTAGACACACACATGGTAGAAACCAGGGAAGAAAACGTGGCTCCAGCATGAATTTCTGGGTTCTCCACTACAGCCTCTTACCATCCTCTATATGTTTCCACAGAGAGAACAAAATGAGGAATCTGAGATTCCCTTCTGCCGGGCCGGAGAGCGTGTCCTGCATCCCAAGAGCTGGCTGGCAGTGACCAGCAGGCGTTCCTGCACAGGAGAGTCGGGGGCCTCGAGGCCTCTCCCTTCCCACTCAACAGCACAGTCATGTCTGCTCTCCCTGTAACAGTGGGCTCTGTTCCAGAGCCCCCCAGGTGCCAACGTCTACCGTCTCCTGGGAACCTGTTGGCTGGAAGAAGACAGGAGAGAGGGGTATGTTTTTGAGTTAAGCAACCCAGGTTTCTAGTTGCAAGTTCTCAGCATCCACGAATTCCTCTCTCAGACAGCTATGGACATAGACACTCCCCTCAAGGGCCCAGATGATTTCTTTCTGGTTTATTGTTATTCATTTCATTTTTGTTTATTGTTATTATTAGTTTTATTTTCCGCTGGGACTGACTCACCAGACGGGGAGATTTGGTCAGACACGCCGTGCGCTGACTGCCCGGTGCTCCTGCTCCTTCGCCGATGGCCAGGACGATCCGGGTGCTGGGCACGAAGCTCCAGGAGCGGCCCAAGGCAGGTTTAAGCTTCCCGCTGTCCCTGTCTCGGGTCATGTGGTTGGTCACCTGCGGCAGAAAGAATCAGACTTACAGATCCATAATGCCAGTAGAGAGGACATCTGTTCCGACGCCTTCGTTTTACAGATGGTTACGCTGAGGCCTAGCATGGAGAAACTCCTTCCCCAAGACTCCAGAACTTACCCACGCAGGTCCTGAACCAGGCCCCGGGCTCCTGACTTGTGCACAGCGTTTTCCACTAAACCACAAAGCCTCAAGCTCTATTCCTCTCTGTAAAATGGGGCATGTGTCTGGGAAAAAGCAGTGCTGTCTGCACTTTCCTGAAGGGGGGCCAGTGGTGTTCTTCAGTGTACTACCCTCTCCCCACCCCCACCCACACCCCCAACCCAGCAGACAGGCTTCCTGAGACCATGTCCAATCAGCCCTTTGTGTCAGGGGGTGCATCTCTGTATATGGAAGGGGAGGAGTTTTGGAAAGGTGTTCCTAATCTGCATGGCCAGCTCTACTCTGCCCAGGCTCATAGTTAAGCAAACCAAGCCTCACAGCATCCTCTTGATCAGGTTCTCCTCACCCTCCAATCCCCCGCCCTCCCATAACCCCAGGGCAAGGGTTATGACTTGTTCATCATTGAATCCCCACTGTCTAGGCCAGAGCATAGCATCCAGCAGGTGATCACATAACCGAAAGTCAGGAGAGGGAGGCCCTGGAACCCAGTATAAGAACAAAAGAATAGGGAAACAAATCCTCTTTCACTGCTGGTGGGTGTGCAATTATTAATCCTGCCTGGAAATTTGGCAACGTCATCTCTAGATCTTAAAAAAATATGTGTATCCCTCACTCAGTAATTATACCTTTAGGAGTTTGAGAAAATAATATGAGATGTGCAAAGAGATTTAGGTATAAGGGTGTTCATTAGAGTTTTGTTTAAAATAGGGAAAACAAAATAAAAATAAAATAAAGGAAAACCATTAACAATCTATAGGCTCCAAATCAAGAAATAGATTGTTATGGTACATCAGCAGTCAGCAAACTATTGCTCACAGGCCACATTTGGCCCAAAAATTGTTTTATAAAATCAGGTTTTCTTGGAAGACAGCCCTGCCCATTTGTTTGGGTATTCTCTACACCTGCTCTCATGCTATATAGGCAGAGTTGAGTAGTTGAGACATAGACCATCCTATATGACAAAAGGGTAATATGCAAATTGACCCTAACGGCAGAACGACCAATTGACCAGTCACTATGAGGCGCACTGACCACCTCTCGGTCCCTTTCCCCACCCGGCAGGCTCCTATTGCCCAGTGGTGAACGGGGAACCAGGGGTAGGTGGTGGGGGATGCGGGCCAAG